ATTCCTATGGTAGCAGCCCTATCCTCGTGCGATGATAGCGGCGCCGACTTGCTTCCAAGTGGCAGACTGATCTGGAGTATGCAGATGACATCATACTTCTAAGCGAAGAATCAGGCAAGTTGTAAGCCTCTCTGGGTAGTTTGAGTGCCAGGGCAACCATGTTCGGTATGCGTTTTTCACCTTCAAAGTGTAAAATTTTGCCACAAGATTGGGTTGGTCCAGCCCCAACCTCACCTCAACTTGGGTAGTATTAGACCAAGTGGACAAACTTTGTTATTTGGGCAANTAATATTAAAATAACCTTCTCGGACATACCTTTTAGAGCAAGGAAGCGCCAGAGTTTAGAGCGATCGACCGAGTCGGAAGCCGCTTTCAAATGGAGAAGACAGAGATGGTGGGTCTACGAAAAGAATGTCGGTGCTCTAGAGTTTGGTGAAGAGTGAAGATGTGGTCGATACAAGCTCGACTAGGTCAATAAGCCTGACGTATTTTCACCAGGCCCCTAAATGTTTTACCCATGGACATGTGTTAACGTTTTCCGGCTTTCCTCCAAATTTCGACTGTTCAGCTTCCCCCTTCATTTTCTTGCCAATATGCACCTGGTGTTTTCTGGACTTCCGTTGTCCCAAGAGCGTAACTATTTCGCACAGACCATAAGCAGTACCTGGTGTCTGTACAAATCAAACGGATTGACCTAACATTCTAACATTCTAAATTTATTGTTTCATCACATCCTTGTGTGATGAACCGCAGACGGGGTGAAACCCATAATTATGATTATCGGCTGTTCACTTATGGGAGTGGGCAAACAAAGACCCGGGAACTGGAGCAACAAACCGCATAAGGTTCCGCCAGGTAGCCATTCGCCCAATATGTTGGCTGTCGACCGTGTCGCTCAGAGCTTACAGTGTCAACTCCCAACCCGACAGTTCGCGCTGCGAGTCCCGACCGGGGCGCAATAATAGGCATTATTTACGAGTCCCAAGAGAGACGAGATAGGTATATCGTGCTGTTGATCGGCCATCATAAAGATTTCGATTGCAGACAAGAAGAGATGTCGTTTCTCTTACACAGCACTTTAGAATTGTACAGGCAACCATTTCCGTAAGGTGCAGTATGTTTCAAGTGTTTCTCTTTTTCACTCGGTCTTTTCCTCTCCTCGCCCCTTCTTTGAAAACAGCCCTCCATCTATTCCTGACCAAAGTCAGAAGCTTTATTACAGTTAATTCAGCTTTCAAGTTTTCTGCGTAACATTCTGAAGGCAGGGCAGTTACAATAGATTCATAACACCTCCGGTATCAGTCATTTTTCGCTAATAATTATTAGTTACCCTTCAGGTTAAACATACTTCTGGTTGCTTTATAATACTCGACTCATGTTATAATCAAAGACGACAATCAAAACCGACGCTTCGTAGTGTAGAATTAACAGTTAACTAAACTGAACGTGTATGATATAGTCTAGACTAAGGAAAAGTTATTTTATACATTCGGGTGTTTGATTCCTCGTGCCTCAAGCTGTAAAGGATAATCGATGAATTTTTGTAGGTTGAACAAAAGTTACTCAGCTTTTCTGCTGCGTATTCTTGTATTTTTGCAATTATAAGCACATTTGAACATACCTTGCCACGCAACTTTATGGATAAATAATGATTGTAACTACACCTTGTTTTCTTGTCCTTTTCAGTTCTGGTTCGGTGACCTGATTGCATCTGTGAACCATCTTTTTATTACCCACTCATTTCGCACCATTTGAGGTTACAATATGATCACTTGGGCTTATTTCAGCGAAGTGTTCATGGGTGTTGATGTGCCGTTAGACAACTATAAGCAACGAGTTCGCGGAGCTTTCTATCGTGGATCTCGGTTGTTGAATCCTCTATCTCAATTGATGAATGTTCCGCTTGATCAAATCAACTATGTACTCTGTGGCTTAATCAGTTTTGCTCTAGGCCAGTTGATGCGACGTCGTTTCGGCCCGGGAAAAACTACACCGCACCGTCGCGCATTGCTGGAAACTTTCTTTGGGATAATACTCTTATCCTTTTGCTTCGGCAATCAGGTCCGCGTATTGTTACTCCAGAGCACTGTGGCATACATGATGCTTCTATTCCTGCCCCAGTCCCGGTTGACAGCGGCTCTAGTCACAATATGGTCCATGTTCTACATGACTCTTGTTCATTTGTGCCGTAAGCAATACGATTACGGTGGTTATACACTGGATATTTCCGGCCCAGTTATGGTACAGACTCAGAGACTTTCCAGTTTGGCGTTCAATCTAGCTGATGGTGCTCGCATCCGTCGACTTCGCCAAGTCAAGCGCGAACGGGAAGATGGTATGCAAGCCAAAACAGATGCTTCCCCGGAGGACTTGAATTCTGAAGATCCCAGCTGGCCTTTCTCGGCTCAGGTATCAATGCAAGCCCTAAAATCCATGATGACCCGACAGCTACAATCGATGGCCGATGCACGAGCTCATTGTGGGGCTGAGCTGAGGTCCTATTTGAATCGCATCCGAGCTCGAGCACCAGCTTCATTACGGCCAGTGATCCGATCATACAGTGCTGATCGTGTAAACGAAGTGGATGAGTTGATCCGCATTCCACCCAATCACATGACACATGCCGTCGACCAGGTCCCCGGACCTGTTTCGTTTTTCGCCTACACACTCTATTTTCATGGTGCATGTGTCGGACCGTTTGTCTTTTACTCGGAATATCAAGAATACCTGAAAGGCTACGGCAAGTCAGAGATGCCACCAATAGCTTGGCGCTCTCTGAATCTGTTGGCTTTGCGGACATTGGCGTGCGGTCTCCTCTCTGCCTATTTGACACCGTATTTCCCATTCAATTTTGTCCTGGACAATGAGTTCCAGGTAAGCATTTATTATTCTTTCCACTGATCTTCGCTGTGGTATTTTGTTGTAATTATACGCATTTTTAAATTTTTTCACACGTGAGAGTTTAGACTGTGCCAAAGAAACCACCGTACAATAATCTTTATAAAAACAAAAGGGTCCGTGATTTGCTGGAGGATATGATACTGCTAGGTTGCCCAGGCCAAATTAGGTGAATTTTTAATAGAGAGTTCACAACTGGGGCCCTAGGGTAACCAAAGCTTGACCCGCAAGGCAGTGGAGTGGTGTGTGAAAACCGCAATCCATTTGGGGCCAGTGTCCAGTTCACCGCATCATACGCCCATTGGAGGGTTTCAAACGTCCAAGGGGCCCGATGCACCTCAATACCCAATCGAGCCGGTGATCACTGTCACGACCAGGAAACTGTGGGTGAATGTGGCTTGTACGCTTCTTCCTGGTTCATTTGTAATCAGGGTTTTTAGCCAACTCCTGTAGGTGAACTACCGGTAGCAGAGCTCCGTAGACTATGGTGGTTCTGATATGTATTCCATTTCGCCTGTTCGCCGAGCTTGGCAATTTGTTTGCAAACGTTTCATCACCAGCCGAGGTGACATTATCAGTGCTTGTGAAGTGGTTCTGATATGTGTTGCGCCTGTCAGCANAAGTTGCCACGGCGGTCGATGCTTGCCGAGGCAAGAAGCGGTCGGAAAAAGGTTAAGGGTGGCCTAACTTATACCTGGCATCAAGAGTATGGAAGCGCTGACCATGGGACCAGGTCATATAAATCGCGTGGGATTCCCTGGTTGAGGACCATCGAATCAGTGTAAGCGATGTTTTGAAACTGAGTGTTGTGAACAGTGGCGCTCGTGTATCTATTCAATTTCTTTTCTACTTTAGTTTGTCTGGATTTTTTAAATCTCCATCTTGATACTGCTTCTAGCATTTTAGTTATTCTCTGTCCTCCTTGATTCATATGGGCATCCACGAGTGAACTACCAAAACCACCTTGAGAAAGTTCAAGACGATTGGTTGAGTAAACCGAACTGCAAGCCGATAGTATCCCGCACTTTAGGGATGTTCAAAGATGGTCAGGCATATTCCGTCCGATCCCGGTGCTTTGTTCGTGTTCAGCTTCAAAAGAATCTCACATTCCTCAAAATTATATTTACATCTTCTATAGACGACTTTTAATGCTGAGAAAATAGGCTAATTGTGCAACATCTCATTCAGTGGATGAATCTTGGATGAAGTCTCGGTGCGCACGCAGAGGCTTGTCAACTTGATTCACCCTCAACGCCAACGTAGTACTGGTTGTTTGTTACCGGTCTAATGCATCATACAGGCGTTCAGTCGGTTTCGCTGCATAGTTCGTGAACATTAACTTTACGGGAACAGGATTAGAATGGACTACCGGTTTTTTCAGCACCACTTTCTTTGCTATTGTAGCAACCTAAAAAAAATACCAAGGCTAAGCTCGGAGTTTTAGGTAATCGCGACCATCCACTTGACCAAGTGCTTGACTTGAGGTCCTATTGGCTAGATCATGTGGTGCCTATATCATTAGATAGCCTTCATGGACGTGTGATATTTGACGTTGCCAGTATTGGGTGGAAAATTGTGAAATTGTGAATCGACTGGAACCATGGTACATCTCAGCGTCGAAGTTGGAAATGGTGACTTGTGGGAGTAAATCCGAAACTTTATAGAAAGGTTTTGTGGGTGCGATTGTTAAGAATCGGTAGCCATTAGAGGAGAGAATCGAGTTTGCAGTGATAATATATAATCCATACTACATGTTGGTTGTATGGGCACTACGTAGGTTTGGTTACCCACAGCAGCTGGTGCTATTCTTAGGTGATCATCTTCTGAGCCTTAGATCAGCTAAGTATTAATCTGCAAGGTATCAGTCCAGTATCAGGAGCTGGAATCTCATGGTTGTCGATCAAAACAAAAAACGGCTTACATACGTCATTTGAGCATTGAGAAGCCCTAGGGTTCACGTGTGCCTTCGACTCTGAAGAGGTGGCGGTCAATGCATCTTGTTTTAAAAGATTACTTACTTCGGCCTTCGTCAAAACGCCCTTATTAGGTTTATTTTAATTTGGTCAGTCTCAGACAAACCATATCCGGATAGTGTTGTATGTTTACGACTGCCCATTTGTCGCGGCACTCCACAACTTATTCACACTAAACCTATAATGAAGGTATCCCTCTATACATAACTCGGGCATGAGCCTGCAGCTCTACTTACCTTCGTATCCTTTGGCATCCGTCATAGTAAATTATTGTATCGCTGCGCCACCGCGATAACCCAATACTGTTCGCTTAGCCTGGGTATCACCGGTCTGGTTGTTTCCATAGACTAGTACGATATTTTCCTAGACAATGAAGTTCGAGTACCTACAATTCGCGTTTATCTGTACATGTATGCCATTTATCTGCATCATACATCAATATTGGTCGCTCCGCTGCAGCATTAATTGAGCCATTCACGAACAAGCGAATTTCGTGAAGAGGCCATACTTGATTCCATTTAGTTATTCTTCAGCATGGATTCTTCCGTCAGGAGAGGTGCAGCAGACTCAGTAGGGGAATTCACCTGCATTCTTTGTCTCCGTATGTCACTAGAATAAAATTGAGAAGAGCACCGTAAACTTTTAATGCGTGTGAATTGTGACTAGTTTGACAAGAAATATCCAGAAAAGTTTGCACCGCACCCGAATATCTGTATTGCAGGTAAACGTCGTTTAATAACTCTAGATCAAACTACTTAGCACATGTAAGCTAACTGATGTCATTCTCGCACGGGAATGAAACCGTTTCTTAAATCTCATATCGTACAACGCTAGGAAGAAAGTGAGAACAAAAGCAGCCTTGACTAGTATGCCGCGTTTTTGTGAATTCGAGCAAAAACATCCAAGCTTGGCTCAGGTTCTACACGTACAATGCACGTGGTGGTGGTGGCGCCGTGGTTTAGTCGCTGTCACTGGTGTGCTTTGGACCCTATGGTCTGTAGTTCGAGCCCCGCCACTGCCACCCAAATTTGGTGGTAGACAGCTTTGCTGTCGTCCGGTTCAATACCACGTCTAACCCAGCGACGCCTTATGTGGTTCGCCACTCCAAGTCCCGGGATTTAGGTTGCTGGTTTTCATCACTGAACAGCAGGTCCTCATGACTATGGGGTTCGACCCGTCTACCTTTCAGCATACTAAAGTGTGCAATAAAAAACGCAAAGAAACAAACAGAAGTTCCAAATGGCGTGCAGTAAACAAGGAAAATAATTGTTATTCTCGAAATTCACTCTTCTCCGTTGTCTTTTTCTGTATTTCTCCTTTAACCCAAGGTTACCTTATCGCTACATCTGTAAAGATATATATATATATATATATATATATA